GATCAGCCTTCCAGCAAAGCACCACGCCAGCCGTGGACCCCTCCCACCCCTGCTCATCTGCACTGCCCTGTTCAGTCCTAGCCTTCTGACTGGGGAGGCCGCCCGCTGTCCTGTCCACGTGCGGGCACCACGCCCTGCCCCAGGGCTCTGTCCCCCGCAGAGGAGCAGCCTGGAGCCGGATGGACGAGGGAGGGTGTGGGGTAATCTTGAAGGGTCCTGGCCCGTGGAGGCCCGAGGCCCTGGACAGGGTCCCGAAGTGGGGAGCTGTGTCTTAGGAGATGGCACTGGGGGCTTGGAGGCCTCTGCTGACGGCTCCGACGTGGCATTGGGCTGAGTGTTGAGCTGAACTGAGTGCCGTTTACAAGGAATAAACACCATGCACGTACGTGTTATTGTATCCTGGATGGTCCAAGTCGTGGCAGATGGCTGCAGTCATTAGGATCAAGATGTCCATCTGGGAAAACTTCTCCTGGGTCAGAGAGAGGGTGGGATGGGGTAGCAGATGAGTGACATGGGCAGGCGACGCCCCTCCAGCCACCCGCCTGGTGGAAGAGGACCCGCCTGCTCTCGGGGGTGGGAGACGAGGACCCTGGCCTAGGAGGGCGGGGCGCGGACTACATGGGCTGGGCGGTTTCCCTGGGAGGTGGGGAGCCCCAAGGCTGTCCCCTTTGGGTGGGAGCTATGTCCCTGAGTGGAGACCCACCTGGAGCCCGCAGAGCCAGATCATGCTGTACATCATCTGTGTCACGCAGAAGCAGTGCCGGAAGTTGTGGAAAGGGTTGTGCCTGTAGTTGTCGTGTATGCAGAGCTGCGAGAGACGAGAGGGTTCCCAGTGCCCTGAGCCGCTGCCAACCACCCTCTCCAAGCTCCCAGGGCACTTTGCTAGCTGTTTCGGANGGAGACAGCAGGCTGGCCACGGGGCCGGGGAGGGGAAGCCGGAGGCTCTGTGGCTGTGCTGCTGGGTGACGGCTCAGGGAAGCAGGCGGGGAGGACGTGCTGCTGGGAAGGTGGAGGGGGACTTTCGGTGGGGTGTCGGGCAGGCAGCCACAGCTCATGGGAGTGTGTGGATGTGAGCGTGTGCAAGCAAGTGTGCACACGTGTATCTCTCACTGTCGTGTCACCCAGGTGGGGTGACGGCCACTCACCTTGGTCACCGTTTCAAACATGGGGATCAGGACAAACTTGATGAACCCAATTTGGGCTGTGGCTTTGGTCACTTTGTCCCTGTCCATGAAAGGGGCCACGGGGAGGCCTTCCGACTTCTCCCGGTCGCTCTGCGGGGAGTGCAGCAGACAGCAACGTTAACGAGAGAACTATCCATGGAAACTGGGGGACTTTGAGGGTCACTGTCCTTCGAGGAAGAGAAAAATGAGCTAATATGCCACAACCCACCAAACCACTCTGCATTATGTAAATTAGGATTAACAAGGAAGGACAATAATATCTTAAGTGCTAACTAGGGCATCTGCTGGGTGAGCAGGGCTGTGCCCCTGAGGACCAAGTGGAGGGGACAGGCAGAGGCTAATTAGGTGTGTCACAGGGGTGCCCAGGGGCAGAAGTGGCTTGTAGGCCACCTCCCGCCCGTGTTCTCTTGGAGCTCATGAAGCTGTTGAGGTGAGTGGTTTACATCCTTCCCAGTGTTTTCGTAAGGCTGGCCTGGCTTTGTCTCTGAGCTTCCATAGGCTACAACTGTAGGCTGACCTGTGTGGTCCCCCCCATCGGGGGGCCCCCTCCTGCCTCTGCAGTTCTGTTTCTCGACCTTCAGGCCACTGGCCTGCCGCAACCGCCCCTGGTAGCGGCTCAATTAGCGGTAACAGGTAGCAGCTTTACAACATTGGCGTTCTCAGGTTGTCGCTGTCTTTCACGCCTCAAATTACAACCTATGTCACTTTTGATGTGCGCCTGCTCTGCAGGCTTTCTGGACGCTGGAGAAACTTCCATGGCCCCTACGCTAGTCCATCTTGGCACGTCCCCTCATGGTTCAGACAAGGACCCTGTTTATGGGGCTAAGACAAGCGCTAGGAGGCTTGACTGCTGTGCATAAAATACTCTTACCTGCATAAAATATTCTTCTAATAAGCAGTCTACCCAAGGCTCTGCGACTTCCATCGGACGCACCTCGTTAGAGATATCACAGCATTTTATCAAAATCATCTTCAGCTGGAAGAAGAAGTTTGGGGTCAGGCATCTGAACACGGACCAGAACCCACTGCTACCTGGACTGGACAGGTCAGTCGTTACCTGGGCTGGACTCGGCACCCACGAGGAGGAGCGGGCGG